GGCGAGGAGCGTGGTGAGGATGTTGGAGCCCTGCGTGTTGTGTTAGGAGTGCGTGATGGGGTTATCTGGGGGTTGTGGGGGACGTACGACGAGGCCTGTGCTGCCTGCGAGTACTGCTGCCGCCATTTTAATACTTTAGTCGTGGTCTGTTTAGCAGTAGGATGAGCTTCTCAGCATGGAATGTGGGCGCGTGGTGTTGTCAGTCAAAAGTTTCGCCGTGTCTGTAAGTGCGGAAATTCGTCCGCGACCCTGCCCAGACAAGCCGACCGAGGTGCGTCATTCCGATAGCTGTCTCTCGCAGCTCCATCATCGAACCTGCACCTCACATGTGTAAGCCGTTAATCGCATAGCAAGGCAAAGACAAACAACCATGACAAAACCCTTGTCTACTCCTTGTGAAGGCAGCATCACGCATACACATTGCTTTTCCGTATCACACCACAATCGCATCACCAGCACGCCGCAGCACCCCTGACTCATGCCGTCGGCGCCCGCCGACCCTGCCCCAACCGAACTCACACCACCCTCTCACCACCGTCATTGCATCCAAAGTTTCGCACGAGGCCAGACCAATGACAGTGTCCGGGAACAAGCGACTGCTTTCCACAGCTTCCATGTCTGTTGCCCGATACGGGTTGTGTTTTGCTGCTGACTGTTGGTTTTGGTGTGCCTGGCTTGTCCGACATGTCAGGCCAGCCGTTCGGGTTGCGGAGAAGGCGCCCAAGAGGATGGAGGGCTCACGCCATGGTTTGGTGGTGCGATTGCGGGTTGGTGAGGGTGATGGGGATGGAGGTTTGGGTTGTGGGTTGGATAAATAGGTTGGTGTCTTTGGGGTATGGTGGCTATTCACAGACAACTACTACAACTATTACAACTACTACTGCGATCAACAGTCCACTTCATACACCTCATACATCCTTACGCTCAGCGAAAGACGAAAACACCAAGTTTGTCTACACAATACTACATTAACGCCACTCCCATCCCAACTCCATCTCACCCAACCCTCAACCTTCACACAGCCACACAAACCCCAACACACACCCATGCCATCACCAACCCAAGCCCGCCTCCTCTGGCGCACTCTCTCCCGCAGCATGGTAGAGCCCCACCCCTTCGCTCGCAACCCAATTACCATGACGCCTCACGCATGGCGAGCGGGTGATCTCTCAAGGAAACTGGTAAAAACGAGTGCTGTGTAAGTCCGTTCATTTCTTGTCTAACCATCCTTCTCCAACTATCCTTCTCGTTGGGAACATGTCGCTAACAGTCATTCAGCTACTTCCCCTTCTACGCAGTCATCTTTGGCTGGCCAGTCGCTGCGTCGTGGTGGTTTAATGGGAATATGTGACTCGAAGTTGCTGGGGGTGAGGAAGAGAGGTGTGAGACGGAGAAGGCGGTAGGGGAGATGAAGGGGTTGAGTAGTAAGGAAGTTGAATATTTGGTATTGAATATGCGGTGGGATGATTGATTAGAGATTGCATTGGTATGGCGTTTGGGTCTTTGAGATGTTGCATTTCCAATTATTGGAAAGAATCCGAGAACATTACTCATATCAATTCTAAACATGCTACTCCATCAACTGTTTTCGACAGATCCATCCGTCGCTTCTACGCAACACAAAGATACCCCATCACCTCCTCACACCACCCACCCCCCTACAAATCCAGCACAACCCTCCCAACCCCCCTACTAACACAACTCAACATGGCCCCCTCCTCCATCTCCTCCTCCAACAACCCCGTCCCCCGATGTTCCACCCTCCCCCCACAAACATCCACCCTACACGTCCCGCAATTACCCACCTCGCACGAACTATCAATGTCCATACCCACAGCCCTCAGCGCATCAAGCAGCGACTCCGTAGCACGCACCTCCACCGTCTTGCCGCTTTGTTCAAGCTCCGCGGTAAACGGATCACCGGATGTAGCTACCGTAAACGCTTCGATGTGGACAGAGGACTCGGGTATACCGTACGTCTTTGAGGTCGCGACAACGGCGTGCATGAGGCGTGGGGGGCCGCAGGTGTAGATGTGGGTTTGGAGATCGACTTTTGATAGGATGGCGGGGAGGTCGAGGCGTTGGCCGCGAGATTTGTTGTAGATTGTTGCTTTGGGGCCTAGTGCGGCGATTTGAGCGGCGAAGGGGATTTCTTCTGCGACGGCGTAGTGGAGATGGAAGTCTTGGTTTGCGTCTTGGAGGTAGGTAAACGCTGTCATGAAGGCTGTTATGCCGATACCGCCTGCGATGATGATGTGTCGGTCTGCGGTTTTGGCGAGGGGGAAACTCGCTGTGATGCGGCCGACGGTGAGGATGTCGCCGACTTTGGTTTGTGAGTGGAGGTATTTGGAGCCGCCGCGACTGCTTGGGTCTAGAGCGACACCGAGCTCGAAACGCTTTGAGGTACCGCATACGACGGAGTAGGCGCGTACCAACTTTCCTCCAAGCTTAAGCCGTACGTGGCTACCTGGCTCGACGGGCGCCGGCTCTGGGATGTCTTCAATGGATTCGAAGATGAAGGCTGTGACATTACTCGTCTCCCTACGCTTCTCGATAAGGCGGTATTCATTCCAAGTATCCATCTTCTCGTCTTCGCCACCAAATAGTCGACTATTGTGGTCTTCGACAACACCTCTATTCAGTCGTTTCTGGAATTCTCCTTTGATGTCCCATCCAAGCTGCGGCAGCTGCACAATGTGCTTCATCATCTCCACGTTATTTGTTTCGATAAAAAGGTAGTACATAACCCTGGCGACCGTCCACTGGGGATGCGGTCGCTCGAGTAGAGAGATCATGTCGCCGGCGGTGATGGTACCGGTTTTGATGATACGGTACATCCAGCCTGTCCGCAGTAGCGTCTGTGTGCGCTTGGCCATGTCTTTGACCTCGAAGCGATGGTTGAGCTTGTAGCAAGGTCCGCGTGGCTCGCTGACTTCGACGATAATGTCACCGATGGCCAGTCGATCTCCAATGCACAAGTTCATCTCGCTGACTTCAGTGTTGAATAGGTTCTCGCCAAACGCACCGGGCTTGAAATGGTGTTCTGAGGCGGGTAACTCTTTCTTCCACTCATCGTAATGCGATGTGCAGTAGTGGAGGAGGGCGTTGTCTTGGCCGCCGTGCAGATGGAATGCATGTTCATCGGTCGGAATACCCAGCTCGGTGATCTCGACTGGGCCCGTCAGCGGTCCTTTGTATATGGCAGACTCGATCTTGCCGTTTCCAAGCGACTTCTTGATCTTGCCGGCGCGTAGTTGGATGAGCGGGAAGGGCTCGAAAGGCGCTGGGTTGACCAGGGTGTCGGGGTCTGGAGGCGGCGGCGGTATCCACGTCGAGACAGGCATACTTGGGATTGTATCTGGGATCGATTGAGTACGTCGAAGTAGACCAGTTGGCGCAGCTGTAACCCTTCGATCTTTACAAGCGTTTCTTTATGTAAGGCGTAAAGACTTGGTGCTCCGTGCGCCAGGTCGGGTCAAAGAGAATGGACAATGGGGTCGTCGATCACGAACGTGCAATGAAGAGAAAGGTCCTTTTTTACTTCATGCAACAACTCCTAAGGTGTTAGGTCAGTCATCAGGCGTGCAGCCATAGCCTGCGGAGTACCCTGGGATGAGTCTAGACTGATTGTAAGCTACACCAGACTCGGAAGGCGTATGGGAAGATTGTGACTCTGCAAGAGAAGTCGATGAGTCTTGAAGACAGCTAGATGCACAATTCGGTAAGCATGCAAGAGTCAGGTTCGATGTGCGTCCCAGCATCATGATCGGCCTGACTTGAAGACCACAATATGTCATTCGATTCCTGGTGTTCTGTACATTTGACACTTTGGAGTTGTCTCATGTTCGATCCAATGTGTAGGGTCTGGCGGGATGTTGCCTGTTGAACGAAAAGCTTGTACCAAACAAGCCTGGAGACGCCTAGTCACAGGCGACGGGGAACGGCGGTCGGAGATCAACGCGACTCCCCGACCCGGGGTTGAACGCGTCGACTCGCTCGGACATACAAGTCATCGGTCAAGTCAAAGACCATATCAACGGCATTGGAGATGTCGTGCCGCGGATGAATGGTCGGAACGTAGTTCAGACGATGGACGCGTCGTGTGTCACGTGGGTAGCGGCCTCGGCTGCAGTTTGGTGGAGCTGACGTCAATGTGAGGGTCCGTGGACAAGCTCCGAGCTACAGCATCAACTCGTCACCGCGATCTCAAGATAGTCAATTGCTTCTGACCCCACAACTACTCGGCTTCCCAAACCTCAAACTCAATACATCCAATCTACTCATTCGGAAACCAAGACCTGTCGCACATCGCAACCTCACCATGTTCCGCATCCAACCCGCACGCGCCGTACAACGCGCAACCTTCTCTCGCGCAGCCATCGTTCGCCCTCGCTTCCTCAGCACAACACCAACACGCTTCGCTCAAAAAGATGCGCAAGACAAAGACTCGCTGAAGCCCCGATCGACTGAGTACGCCAAGTCTGGCTCCGACGATGGCGCCGCACACTCCGACGCTGCCTTCGACCCTAAACAGACCAGCCCTGAGGAGGCAGAGGCAACCGCTGAGAAGGAGGCTGGAGGCCCACAGAACAGCTTGAACGCCAGCCCGGGCAACAAGAAGGTCAGCGAACCCAACAGCCCAGACGTTGGCGGCAATGGCGGCGCGCCGGACAAGAAGAGCAGCGGTGGAGGCAGCGCACCTAAGAACAGCACAGGATAGACGCAGATATCACGCGGACAGGCTATAGTCACGATGAGGGGATGCCAAAGGCAGAGACATCAGGTAGCTATCGAGGGTAATCCAGGGCGTACAGGGAGCATCACATCACAGCATCATAGCATTGGGAGTCGCATCTCAGGCATCCAACTGTATATACCCCACAATCGAAAGAGAAAAAAAAAAGCCAATTTCGAAGCCACGACCACCAGTGACGTGCCCATGCTGCAGCTCCACCGGATGCGGCATCTGCGTGGAGCAACCTCAGTCTTGCACCCATGCAATGACGTCACAGCCAATGACGCTGCCCACAAGAACGCGGCAGCAACATCCGTCTTTGCACAACAAAACACTTCACACCTCTTCAATTCTGCTCTCATACCTCTAAATACCTCTCTCTCAAACCACAAACCTCACACATCCCCCTCTCTTAAACCTCAAACTCTCAAACTCTCAAACCCATCAAAATGGCACCCCGCGCCCTCTACACAGCAACCCGCTCCCTGCGCACCCCCATCTCCACCTCGCGCACACCATTCACCACACCTTTCACAACGCGCCGCACCTTCATGACTACACCCTCCCTGCGCATCAAAGAAGACGCAGCACGCACCCCCGAACAAGTCGAAGCCGCAAAGCAGGAGCAGCTCAAGGAGCAGGAAAAGGGCGAGGGCAGATGGCGCGAGGACCTTGCTAGTCATGGCGAGAGCAACATTGCGGCGGATCGGCAGCAGGTTGGTGATCATGAGGAGCATATGAAGGAGCTGCAGCGGGAGGGGAAGGAGAAGGGGGAGAAGGGGGAGATGTAAGGATGGATGTAAGGATGGATGGAAGGATGGATGGAAGGAAGGGTGGTGGTTGTATATGTCAAACCGAAGGAAGCGCATACCGAGTGAACCAAATGAAAATAGAGAATACGGAAGCAGCAGCATGTTGAAGCCACCCACATCCCCTCCCCCCTCAAAAGTTCACAACACTAGCCTCCAACACCCCCTCCTCCCCAATCAACGCCTTGAGCACATCCTCCCCAACCATCTTATCAACCCCCAAAATCATCAACGCCTCATTACTCCCCTCCCCTCTTCCTTCCACCTCATTCCCATTCCCTCCATTCCTCTCAGCCAACCGTTCCTCCACCTCCCCACTCAACGGCGCAACATTCATAAACTCAATATTCACCCCCGCCTTCCCCAGAAGATTCCCCACATACCCAATCTTGCCCACCGAATCAAAGTTGCGACAAATGAGCAAGGTGCCACGGGGCACGAATTCGCCTTTGAATTTGTCGAGGCGCGAGATGAAGGGTTTGTTGCCGGAGACGAAGCCTTGGATGATTTGGTCGGAGGAGGAAGAAGAAGAAGAAGAGGAAGAAGGGGGGTTGGTGGTTTGGAGGGCGCGGGCGGCGGAGGGAGATGCGTTACGGGAATGGGAATGGGGTTGTTGCGAAACGGAGCGGGAGGCGCGGGCGCGCAGGGTGATGAAAGAGGAGTAGGGTTTATCTTCTACGTTTTCGCGGGAGCGCTGTTCGTTGATCAAAATACCGCGCTCCTTCGCTAGTAACTCAGCATTAACAATATTAATGTTCAGGCCGTCGCTGGAGGTAATGGGCGTGAGCAGTCCCTTAACCAACGCGGCGAACAGCGGTTTCGTGGTGTTGATCGTAGCGAGCTTGCCTTCGTAGATGAGATCGAAGGTTGTGCGAAAAGAACCCGTTTTCGCGGAGGAGTAGTGTTGGGTGTAGAGGCTGCCCATTTTTTCGACGAGGCTGATGAAGGGTTGGAGGGTGCGGTATTCGTCTGGCAAGACGATGGGTGCGTTGACGGCTGAGCGGGGGAGTTCGCCGCTGAGGATTGAGACGACTTGTTCGCAGACATCGATGGACACGTTCTCTTGGGCTTCCTTGGTGGAGGCGCCGAGGTGGGGGGTTGCTACGACTTTTGGGTGGGCGATTAGCCGGGATGCTGATGAGTTTTGTTCGGGTGGTTCGGAGGTGAATACGTCGATACCTGCTCCAGCGATGACACCAGCGTCTAGAGCTTCGACGAGAGCATCTTCGTCGATCATGCCGCCGCGTGCGACGTTTAGGATGCGAGCTGTTGTCTTCATGGTCTCTAGTTCCGCCTTACCGATCATGCCTTTGGTCGAGGCGATCAAGGGAGTATGTAGCGTCAGGAAGTCGGCCTCTTTCAGGATCTCAGCTAGATTTGGGCGGAGGGTTACTGACGCCGCTGCAGCCAAGTTCGGGTTTGCATAGGGATCGTAGGCTATCAGACGCATGCCCAGACCATTGGCAATACGAGCAACTGTGAGACCGACTAGGAAGGTGTTAGCCAGCCCTTATAAACTTCAAGCATCAAACTCACCTTTGCCCAGGCCGACAATGGCAAGAGTCTTGCCTTTTGCCTCCACACCCACCAGTCGACTTCGCTTCCATTTCCCAGCTTTGATACTTTGCGATGCATCTCCAATATTGCGAGCCACAGCCATCATTACTGTCACATGTTAGTTAATGTAAGAATGGCCTTGCTTGGGCTACCTACGCGCAATGGTATGTTCCGCAGCAGCATTGATATTTCCAGAAGGTGAGTTCACCACAATGATACCGTGTGAAGTGGCACTCTGAACGTCCACATTGTCAACGCCAACACCAGCACGAGCAACGACTTTCATGTTCTTGGCGGCACCCAGAAGCTCTGCTGTCACCTTCGTCTCCGACCGTACGATGAGGGCGTCATACTCGCCGATGATCTCCTTGAGCTCTTCTGGACTTAGTCCTTTCTTCTCATCTACATCGAATTGGTCTTTCAGTAATGCGAGTCCATCTGGCGAGACCTTCTCTGGTATCAAGATCTTCCGTCTCGCTGTGTGCATGAGGATAGCCATGTTGACGGGTATCGGTATGTGCTGTTCTTACTGGCACTGGTAGACTTAGGTAACCAGATATGAAAGAGTTTCAGTGAGTTGATCAAGGGGATGTGTCGGTTATGGCGTTGACTGTAAGTTTACGTGAGACTGTATGAGATGTAAGCGCAAAGCCTACAGGAGGAGTACAGTCCATTTTGTACACCCAAAGTGAGACTGCGCCGCTATCGGTCTACTGCAGTAGCATGCGTCAGAGGGATGTCTTTGTGGTAGCTTTACCTGTTGGCTAGGTTTACCCCGCACTCCTTCTACCCCACGGGGTGAGCGCCGCTGCTGCAGGGTCAATTTGGCGAGTTACCTAGGTATCAAACAACGCCCTCGGATCTTTGTAGGGACGATGTTAATAATATTCATGAGAGAAACCGCTGAAAGAAAATCGATGTATTGGAGAACGTGTTTCATTATTTAGTCGTTGTTGTAGTACCGCGAGCGCTCGCGTCCGTCATGGTACTTTACTGTGCATATGTTGCGCAGCGTGGGTAGCCACATATGGTGTGATCTTCAACGATTGGAGGCTGAATTCCTGTAGAGTGGGATATGCACATCACGCGGGTAGTCGGCGCCGCCCGTTTACCAATTGCTACGTGTCTTGAGCTTCTCGTTCTGCACTACCTCGATCCAGTAACCATCGGGATCTGCGTATTCTGTCAGTTGTCGCTTCGTGCGATGAATAGATAACGACTCACCTAGTACGAAAGCGATGTTCTTCATGCGACCGTCAGTAAGCCTCTTCTTCCAGTTGACCTTCTTCTCTTCGAACCGAGCACACGCAGCGTCGAGATCGTCGACAGCAATGCAGATGTGGCCGAATCCTTGGGGCTCATCGTTGCCGTTGTGGTACTTGAAGTTTGCGTCGTTCTCGGTTCCGTAGTTATAGGTCAGCTCAAGCAGGCCTTCGGTGTTTGCTACCGGGTTGACGCCGTTTGCGGTGTTTTCGGATGCATCGGGGCCGTATCCAAGGAAGTACAGGTTGAACTTAGCGCTTTCATTTTCAGAGGTGCGCTTAAGTTTCATGCCCATGACATCTTGGTAGAAGTTGAGTGAGGTCTCCTTGTCCTTGACGCGGATCATAGTGTGGTTCTGCAATCATCAGTATACCAACGTAATGTCTTCCCAACGCTACTTACCATGCGGTATGAGCCTGTGTCGGTATCCTTGACATTCTCGGTCTCCTCCAATGGCTTCTGGCCAATGACCTCCACCCAGTAGCCATCAGGGTCGAGCACGAACGCAATGTGGCGCATGCGACCGTCTGTGAGCTTCTTCTGGAACTTGTAACCCGCATCTTCTAGCCTCTGGCAAGCTGCCTGCAGGTTGTCCACCGAGATGCAGAGATGGCCGAAGCCTTTGTGTGGTTCCGTGTTGCCATTGCTGATCTTGTAGTTTGGATCGTCTTCAGTGCCGTAGTTGTGTGTCAACTCGACGATTCCCTCGCGGTCAGTCCAGTGGTTGCCGTGCGAAACAGCCTTCGGGCTATCGTATGCGAGGAAGTAAAGGTCGAACTTGGCGTCGGGGTTCTTGATCTGATTGATCTGCTTCATTCCAAGGAACTCATAGAATTGGACAGAGCGCTTCGGATCCTTGATCCGGATCCTAGCAGGTGTGAGTAACTGGCCAATAGAATGGGGATGGCGCAGTGAATGCCATGCGGGTACTCACATGGAGTGGTTGAGCTTGTACTTGGATGGGTCGGTCGCCATGGTTGCTAGCGTTCGGATCAGGAAGCTTGGTGTACTGTTTGATTTGAGAGGATGAAATGGAGATGATGTGACTACTCGTAATGTTCTTGGTATTGCGAGACGCGTGAAAAGCATTCCAAGGTTGACTGAGCTCTCTAGCAGTGTCGCAGCGCAATTGAGGGGAAACAGATTCTAAGGCCGATGACGTCTGCGATCCAATGAAGAGCTGCCAATTGCCCCTCACCCGGTATTTGCTCGGAGATCAGCCCGGTGGGTTACAAACATCTCGAATGCGTGCGAACGACGAATCGTCCTATGACGTCGATGTCAAACATGAGCACTATCTACCCAGATCTAGAGATGTCACCAGGTCAATATATCTTTGTAAGGCGCGTGTCATCCAAGAACATCGTCGTGTCGCGTGCGCGCGCGCCCATCCCTTCGTTTCACACTCCACTCGTGACCCGGCCCAAAGATATACCCTGCGTCTGATTCCTGTCGTGATGTGTAGATACACGCAACCTGGGTAGCATCTCCAAGCCGCTCATGGTGCTAGGCTGCAACAATACAAGCTCTCATAGCATGAGCGCGAGAGCACGTGCGGCGGAAAACAAGGCTCCGGCCAGCCCAGGTGGTCATAGCTCTCTCTCCTGGGGAACTTCGTCTTGAACATCGTCATGATCAAGATACTGACACGCGCAACTTCTCTCTCGTGCTCCCATCCGTTCCTTCTCGTTTTCTAACGCGTTCCTTACTGTTGCGACGCGTCGCTGGTCATTGTATCTGCCTTTGGTCTCCGAGAAGGCGCAGATCGGTGAATTAGCAGCACGACAGCGCGGAAGTGGTTGCGCGAACGATTGACCAGGTACGTGGGCCTGATTTCACGTCACCATCATCGAAATCACATACATTCGCTGCAGCGCGTGGTACTCGCAACATGCTCACACGTCGCTAAAAGCTTCCCACGCACAGTCTATTCTTCATTTTTAGTTCTTAACACCTACAGCTTCCCCGTCTAATCATGTCTGCAGATCCCACAATGATCAACATCGCTAAAGTGAGCGACTGGCTCACGCAGAATGCAAACGAACACATCTACCCAAGACTCTTGTAGGTTCCAAGTACCAAACACTGTTATTCCAACTAACTTCAGTAGCCTGATGTCTCCAAATGGCACACTATTAGCGTACTCAAAGCCTGTCCAGACC